TCACCTGCACGCGTCAAGCTATATCCAGCTCAGCCAACAGTGATAGCTTTTTGCAAGAAAGGACAAGGAAAAGGCTAGCACACGTACGAATGACCTACCCCTGACCCCGCCCCTAAACATAACCGTCACGTGGGTTTAGACAAATCGTACAAATTCGTACGAGTGAGGTCGTATGAATTAGTACGAATTAGCCATTTTTGAATCACTCGTACGAATTCGTACGAATTGGTCGTGAGATAGGGTAGGCATTTCTAGTCTGCATTGTTCAAAATTTTGCAACTGTTTATGTAAAACAAAACAAATATTTAACAGAACCTGAGGGAAAGAGGGACTCGTAATATCATGCGTCTGGGAAACGGTGCCTGCACCGTTTCTGTTTGCATAGAAACTGTTTTGATTAAAAAAAGTTATTTTATGAGTACAAAGATGTGGCCGAAAATTGTCCTCTGGGGTTTTTTCCTTAGTATAATGATGTCTTGTGACTTTACAAATTATACTTTTTTTTTTGTTTAGATGTTTAAATGACTGCATCAACCCCCAGTTTACAGACAAAACATCACCTGTCAGCCATCAAACTGCCAGACAAAACATCAGGAGTTCAAAGAATGAAATGAACCAGATGTTTGTTGTGAATGGTTGCCTCTGTGTTACTATGCAGTCACTACATTGTGTGTGGATTATACTGTTGCTATGTGTTTACTAAGGCATTGCTCACTGACTCTGCTAGTAGTTGTATTTTACAACTAACAGCTGATGCATATTAGGTTGTTACAACAAAAAAAATCATGAATATCTAGTTTATTTGCTTGCCTCAAATAAAACTTTGTCTCATACAGTGATTATTTCCTCCTCCAACGTGCTTGTTTTATCAACCTTATAAATATGACCTTGTCTCCAGGCAAACTGATACTCTTGGAATTTATGTAAAGGTCACTCGGCCTGATTATAATTTAGCATACTGTTATATGCAATGGAGAGCCAATGACCAGACAGACTGTGGACTGTCATCTGAGGCTGAGACTACAGAAAGTATTGAATAGTGCAGCAGGGACACACACATGCCAGTTTTGTTATGAGCATAATACCGACACAGCCAATTAGGTCAAATGCAAATGCACATCCACCAATGAAAAAGGCTGGAGATGGAAAAGTTTGCAAATTGCACAACTTATTTTTCAGTGTGAAATGGGAGACTATCTTTTATGTTGGTTGGCAACAGTGTTGGGGAAAGTTACTTTTAAAAGTAATGCGTATATAATAACTCTCTAACTTTCTAAAAAAAATTAAATAAAACTAAGTTACTTTTTAGGGAAAGTAATGTTAAATTAGGCTACTTTGGTGGGGTTTTGATCTAATCTGGGCTGGGCTTGCTTGTTTTTCTTTTCTTTTTTTCTTTTTGATAACAACAAAGTTTTATTTTTGGCAAATGTAAAGTGAAATGAATGAACCTCAGTTTGAAGGAAATGCAAATTTATGCCTGTACAGTAAAGTGCGCAGCTCAAACTAACTGTTCAGCTGTGCTGCCATTCAGCTTTAAAGAAAGTTCAAGACTTCACCAATAAATAAATAAAAAATTATGACGTGATGTTTATCTAAAGTCATTTTTTGCGTAGGCTACATTGGTTGAATTGGATCAATGTGGATCAGCAGAAAATCCATTGGTTAATAAAGTGATATTAAATGCATAAAGTATGTTTAACATAATTTTACACATTTACTGCAGGTTTGCGTAATATTCTGCGTTTTTATTCATTTTGAGGAATATTGTGAGTAAGATGAATAAATGCATGCCCACATTTAGTCTAAAATTACAATAACCATCATCTTTATACAAAGCGCACACAACGCCTCTGCACTGACTTTGATTTCTCCCAACATGTGGACAGGAGCGCTGTCAGTCAATAAATGGAAGAATAAAGTAACTTGCGTCACTTATTTGAAAAAGTAACTCGGAAAAGTAATTGTTTATGTAACTCACGTTAATTGAAATGCATTACCCCAACACTGGTTGGCAATTATATGTGTGTGTATATATATGGGATAACATGGTATAAAAAAAAAAAGTTCTATGTAAAATATTCATGTAACTTTACCTAGACTGCATTCAGTTCTGAGAAAACCTTTAATAAGACATTATCTGGATTTCTGCATGATTGGCGCCAATTTTGTGCTTTTCATCAAAGTTGGTTGTAGCAATCAACACAAAAGGCGTTTGATAGTGTTTCTGTTTCACCCCTACAGTGCCACACTTCACTGAACAAATGTTCATTTTTGCGAAGGCCATCAAGCTTCAAGTTGCAGAGGAAGATTTACCACAGAACACTTTGTTTTCTTCAGAGCAATCTGAACTCCGCTCAGTTCATCCAGGTTATCTTTTGGAAAGTTCAAATGGACGGCTTTCTTGTCCTTTATTTGGAGAGCTTGTGGGTAACATTCAAAACTTAACTCTTATTCAGAGTTTTTCATTATGTAGGCTAGACTCATTACCATATATGTAGTCCAAGATAAGCCAGTTGAACTTTAGATGTTTCTACACTCTTAAAAATAAAGGTTCCAATTAGAACCAAGAAAAAAGGCCAAATTCTACAGGAGAACCTTTTTAAGGTCTACTCAGAAACCATGTATGTTACGCAAATTCTTAAAAAAAAAAAAAAAAGACATATTGACATCCAAGAAGATCCATGGAGCCTTTCCACTGAACAAAATGGTTCTTTAGATTCGTAAAGTTTTCTTTACACTAAATTTGTTTTGAATTGTTCTTTAATGAAAATGGTTCTTGATGAAAAGAGCCTAAGGTGTTGAAAAGAACCACTGAATAATCTACATTTTTTTAGGGTGAAAGTTTGCACTAATGCTGCCTTCCAGACAGGTTTTTGAGCACGTTAATTACAACTTCAAACCACGACTCGCGACTTTGTAGCAATCCAGGCCAGTTACGCCAAACTACTGTACCTGAGCGCAAGGAATTGTGGTAGCTAGATGTAAATTACGGTGCTCACTCCTTGTTTATTTGAGGGAAACTGAGGAGGAAAAAATGGCGGATAAGGCAAGATAAGATGTTATACCATTTATTTTATTTGTATATTTGGAAATGTATTTGGCATTAATTTATCCTTCCACTCAATGGACTGAAAACTAGTTAACGTTATATTGTTCTAAAATGTATTCTCACCGTGTACCACCTGCAGAAACAATTGTTGTTTTGTATGGTTTCGCGGGCTATGTGACGTCAGAGCTCGTAACTGGGAGTACATCGATCTAGTACGAGTTCATGGGTGGGAAGTCACGGGTTTGACTGCCGTTCCAGTGCTCTTTCACGGGTATAAGGTTGGAAAAACACAGGTTACACCATGCCTGGAACGCGGCATAAGGCCCAGACATACTTAATTTAATGTGTTCCTCTCTGTCTCGCGCACACTTGAGTACGCAACCATTTTAAAATATACGCCTTAACCGTGAGTGCAGAAAGACAATTTTGAACGCAAAAATTGGCCTGCACGTGGACCCTCCTGATGATGGAAATTACATCACAGGGCTGAAGTATAATTTGAGCGTCAGAGTTTAGCTCCAACCTTGATCTAACTCACACTGTAACTTTCTGAAGGCCTTGATTAGCTTGTTCATGTGTGATTGATTTAAGGTTGGAGATAAACTTTAGCTGTGTCTCATTTCGAAGTCTTCGTCCTCCGTAGATCACATTTGTCAGTCATCATTACTTAACTAAAATGAGGCAGCCTCAATGCCGTATACGGGAGACAAATGCGACCTCTGAAATGAGAGAGAGCTTCTGAAGGAAAGTGTACCTTGAGTGCCAGAGTTGAGAATCCCTGGGTTAAAGGAAGTCCTGGTGTAATCCTTTAAAGCTTCTGTTCTCCTGGGAAGATTCCTCTGAAATCAGGTGTTCTTTTTGTTCTTTTTTGAAAGACATTTACTTTTGATCAGTCCATTTCCCATTTTCACATAATGATGACTTTTGTTTGGGGTCAAACGCACTGAATTAATTTATCGTATTTTCGCCAAACTTATCTATTGGACTTCATTGTGATGGTCACATAAACTACTCTCCGGTTCTCTTTTGGTGAACTATTGCTTATAAATGAGGCTTTATTATATATATGCTTTCGGTTAGGAATTGGTAGGTTTTAGTCAAGATTTTGCTGTGATGTGGGTTGTTTACGTGGCAGAGTTCCTAGGCTAATCTAGACTAGATTAGTCGAGGAAGAGTTCTTTTCTTGAGAAGATTACTCTGTGTATTTTTGAGCTTTGTTGTACTGTAGACTCACTTTTTCCAATTGTGTCCTCCAGTATTTGTATGAATGTTGAGTACACTCTTAGAAGAAAAGGTTCTATATAGAACCTTAAAAGGTTCTATCATCGCTACTTATTTGAAACCCCTAAATGGTTCTATACAATCTTTAAAAAGGGTTCCTCTGGGTTCTATATAGAACCCTGGGGTTCCATACTTGGCCAATAGAACCTTTTACCAAAAAAAATGGTTCTATATTGAACCATTTTGGAGTTCTATATATGAAGCGGAGGATGGAACCATTTCTGGTTCTAAATAGAACCATTTCTTTAAGAGTGTAGAGGAAATCGAAAGGGTTTGAGTGGAGGGAGGCAGGAGATGCATGCAGTTCTCTGATTCTCTTTTTTTTTAATGAGGACACATATTCAAAATGTCCTCATTAAAACCGACATCTAGAACAGGGATATTGCTGGGGGTTTGTAATAGGTTGTGATGGAAATGAATTACAAACAAATGCAAATAAAATACAATCAATAGTCATGTAACATGTATTATCTTAAAACTAAATTCATGTGAAAAGGTTCATTTAATAGTAACAAGATTAGACAAATAGACTACACAAGTTAATATGAATCAATGTTGAGAAATGAATTATAATGTAGCAGGAGGCTGGCCCTGACTATGCATTCATACTTGTGCAAAATGTGATTTCGTTTTATTTTTCTTTAACAATTCTCTGCTACTTGTCTTTCAGATTCGCCGAAGAAGACCCACACCTGCCACGTTGTTCAAAGTAGCAGACCAAACATCTCCTGAGGATGACATCTCCAGCCATCAGGTACCACAATGCCACCTCAGTTCTGGAGGTTAAACTGCATTCATACATTGAAGGAAAAGTGCTGAATCTAGCCTTGTTGAACGGATAATATTATACTTGTTGTATGGGCAATAAATTCTGTGGATAAGTGATGGTATTGTAGTAATACGGTAGTATCTCCATTTTACACGATAAATAATACCATTGTAAAATATGGAGCCCCTAACAGCACATAGTTATGGAAAGAAAAATTATAGTTCTTGCTGCTTTATTCTTGCTGTTGTTTATGCATTTGAAATAATTTCAATAAAGATTTAAATGTTCATGTTCAGCTTAATAATAATTAAACATAATTTAATTTATATTTCATAATTATTATAGCAAATATTGATTATAGAACTATTGTTTACATAGAGTATAATCATTTAATGATATAACATAATTATATTAAAAATATATATGATTTTGCATATTGTTTGACCTACAATCTAAATTATTCAACCCCCATTGCAAATCAGGTTTATTGGCAAAATGTGCAGACTTTCACCTGTTTGCAATGAACAAACAATCGCTTAAAAAAAACCCAAATGTTTCAAGTGGTTTCCCCAAATTCAACTGAAAATGCTTTTCATGACTTCTGCAGTTTCAAAACTTACTCAACAAATTATCCCATCGTGGCAAGCATCTTTACTTAGGGGGCTTTCACACTGGTAGTTTAGTCCGAAACGGGGCACGGTTCGCATGAAAAATCGCTAATGTGAACGCTGTCATGGGACCCGGGTGCGCACCGGGGTACCGAACACGAGACTACCTGGAGGAGGTGGTCTGAGTTTGGTTGCTTCCCAACCGTGCCGCGGTTCGCCTGAATGTGAAAGCAACACGGATTCGGGCGCGCACTTGTTCAGGAAGTAAAGTATCCTGCGCATGCGTTTTAGCTTATTGTGATGTATACAGTTCAATAAAACACTTGCAAGGGATGATGCCGCTGACATCATAGTGCTGAAAAGTTCCAGTTTTTTGTCATTACTCCACAGAACACAATCCCAAAACTTCCGTGGCTTATTTATATGATTTTGAGCACTTTTCTTGTGCTTTTGGGTCAGTAGTGGGAAGTTCTAGCACATGTGTGCGCCTTAGTGTGCAAGCTGAAGCCTGTTGAGAAACTGCTGCATGTTGCCATCAATTCACTTGAGGGTTTTTCTGAACCTGCCTTCTAAAAAAATCTGGTTGCAGCCGTTGACGGCTTTCTTTTTCTGTCCCATCCAGGTAGTGTAACCTAACTTTGAACTTGTTAACTATGCTTCCAACGGTGTATCTAGGAACATTTAGTGCCTCCACTATCTTTTTGTATCCTGTTCCTTGTTTGTGAAGGGCAATGATATCTTCTCTTAACTTTCTGAACAATTCTTTTGACTAAGGCCCCGTTTACACTGCGTTTTGCCCTCTCATTTACACGAAAACGCCGTTTTTATCACAGAAAACGATTATTTCTAAAAACTCCGGCCAAAGTAGAGATTTCTGAAAATGCTGGTTATGTGTTGTCGTGTGAACTGGGAGAAACGGCGTTTTAGGTTCTCTCTTGTCGTTTCTGAGGATTCTGATTGGCTTGCATGGCTTTATCCTTAACCCCTACACTGCCGCCAATAGGTTTGGCATAGATATGATGGCGCTCGACGGCGTATTTATGCAGGTGTGTAAACGATGTTATTTTTTGTAAATGGAGAGGGGGAAAATATTCGTTTTGCTAAATACCCGGCTTTGTGTAAACGTGGCCTAATATGCAGTCAAATGTGACACTCAACAAACCTAGCCAGTTTAGATATTTCATGTTCTAGCTCAAGCACACCTGGTGCAATTAATGAAGCCCTTGTTGTTTGCATCAGGTGCACTTGAGACAACACCTGTTTTGCAGATTTGTGCCATTGAGAGGGTTTCTATTTAGGGGTTTGAATGATTTTGAGACTGCGAAAGTCATTAAAAGTTGCATTTTCAGTTCAATTTGGTGAAACCACTTTTGTTGTTTTGTTCATTGCAAACAGCTGAAAATCTGTATATTTTGCTAATTAACCTTATTTGCTATAGGGGTTGAATAATTTAGATCACAACTACTGTATGTGTTGATACTGTAATTTATTGACATTGAAACTATCTTTAGTGGGTTGTTGGAGAAAATGGAGTCCTCAAGCCAAAACGAATCAACCCAAACATCTACCAGCCACCATCATTAAAAGGTAAAAGCCTGTAGTTTTGCTTGTGATCTGTGCCTACTGTATTGTGTATATTCCGTTAAATATATATATTATTCCGAAGACCTTCCTGCACTGTTCCGGATCTGGGTTTAAAAACTCTCCCAAGCTGCAAGTCTGTTTTTCCCATTTTACTGTGTGTGTGTGTGTGTGTGTGTGTAAGTAAGATTAGAGATGGTGACAGCTGTGATGGGTGTGAGTCTGTGCTGCTCTGGATCATCCTGGATTACAGCAGATAGCATACAGCTGCAAACACACACACACACACACACACACAGTTTTAGAGGACAGACGTCCATCAGAAACATTTGCCATCAGATCAGTGCACTACAAAGATTGTGACCCACTGAGGACAATCTCGATTACTAGATTATGTCAACATAACGGTGCTGCTGTTTTCGTCTTTGGCTTAGTTTAGAACTACTTTCATTGACGGAGCAAAAATAAAATAACTGCGTATTTTGTCTCAATTAGTGATATGAACTTCCAAATCCATTTGAAATTCAAGGCAATATTAAGTTTGACCACACTCCTTGACTAATATTGCTTAATGTCTCATTTGATCCAATATTTTTCACTTATGAAATTCTATGAAAAACTTCAATAAAGCAAATGTAAATATTCTGCAAAAAATGATGCATAATGAAATGAGTTTGTTCTTGTTTCAATGTACTGAAAAAAAACCGAAGCAAAGATAGCAATGCATTACTGTAATATTGTCTCTAAATGTGCGTTTTGTGAAACGTCTATTTGCAGAAAGACAAGCAGGTGGGTTATCCCTGTCCATACATGTCCTGTAATTGCAGCATAAATAAAACCCTTTCTGGTCGGCATGGTGCAGAAGTCTTGTTAAAATAATAGAGACCCAGCCCTTTTTGCCTGTGTGTGTGTTTGTGTATGTGCCTGCATTTTCCCATTGTGATTTGGTGGTCCCTGATTTGTGTTTCCCCCTGTATGTGTGTTTGTGGGTGTGTGTTTATAGCCGTGCAGCAGATGGCTGAAGCTCAAATGCTGAAATTAGGTGTGTATCCTCATGTAGAGGAGGAAGGGGAGGAGCCTATTCAGAGAGAGAGGGAAGAGCTATCCTCATCCTGCACACCTGGTAATCTTAATATCACATCACAGAGGAAACATGTGGTCTGTGGTCAGGAAATATAGGCCATCCTCACGCAACCGTGACATTTATATTATATTCTATATACACACATACACAATCATGGTCAGAATTATTGGCACCCTTTGTAAATATTAGCAAAGAAACCTGTAATTATAAATCTGCGTTGTTTCGTTTTGATCTTTAATTTAAAAAACTTCTAAAAATCTTCATGAAAACATGTTGGCCACAATTAATGGCATCATTTTATTCAATACTTTTTGCAACGTCCTTTTCTCAAGATAACAGGGATTTCTCCTAAATGCCTGATGAGTTTGGAAAATACCTGACAAGAGATCAGAGACTGTTCCAGTTCACCCCACGCATTTTCAGTCGGGTTCAGGTCAGGGAACTAGGATTGTCATGGTAGAAGCTTCATTTTGTGCTCAGTGACACAATTTTCTTGGTTTTGATGTTTGTTTTGGATCATTGTCCTGATGCAAGACCGAACTATGGCCCATTATAAGATTTTCTAGCAGAAAAATAGGCCCACAACATGAAAGATCCAGCATTATATTTAACAGTGGGCATGGGGTAATTTTTTTTATCTCTGTTTGCACCAAACACATATGGTGTTTGCTGCCAAAAAGCTCTTTTAGTTTCATCTGACCGCAGAAGCAGGTCCTGTTTGAAGTTCCAGTCGTGTCTGACAACTGAATATGCTGGAGTTTGTTTTTGGATAAGAGCAGAAGATTGTTTTTGAAACCCACCCGGACAACTTGTGGGGATGTAGGGGTTGTCTGAACTAATCTCTGCAATGTGATCCTTGAAGAGTCTCTGGCCACTCAAACTTTCCCCCTCGCTGCTCATTAAGACAATATAACTATATTCTTTGGTTTTACTCATTGTGATGGATGATTAAGGGAATTTGGCTTTTTATTTTCTTAATATTTAAAACATTTATTTCATAATGTGATCCCCCCCTCCCCCCCCCAATTGTTTTACTTCAATGAATGTTTAGACTTTTGCAATGTTTTTGAATGAAAGATCAAAGGGATAAACAATGCAGATTTATATTCACAGCAATTTTTTTATCATATTTACCAAGGGTGACAATAATTCTGACCATGTCTGTATGCATGCATGTATGTATGTATATGTGTGTGTGTATATGTGTATATATATACACTAACCAAAAGGATTATTAGGAACACCATACTAATACTGTGTTTGACCCCCTTTCGCCTTCAGAACTGCCTTAATTCTACGTGGCATTGATTCAACAAGGTACTGAAAGCATTCTTTAGAAATGTTGGCCCATTTTGATAGGATAGCATCTTGCAGTTGATGGAGATTTGGTGCCATACATGGTGGCCATAAAGGGATTTAAACAATGCCCAATTGGCACTAAGAAAACATCCCGCACACCATTACACCACCACCAGCCTGCACAGTGGTAACAAGGCATGATGGATCCATGTTCTCATTCTGTTTACGCCAAATTCTGACTCTACCATCTGAATGAACAGAAATCAAAACTCATCAGACCAGGCAACATTTTTCCAGTCTCCAATTGTCCAATTTTGGTGAGCTCTTGCAAACTGTAGTCTCTTTGTCCTATTTGCAGTGGAGATAAGTGGTACCCGGTGGGGTCTTCTGCTGTTGTAGTCCATCCGCCTCAAGGTTGTGCGTGTTGTGGCTTCACAAATGCTTTGCTGCATACCTCGGTTGTAACGAGTGGTTATTTCAGTCAAAGTTGCTCTTCTATCAGCTTGAATCAGTCGGCCCATTCTCCTCTGAGTTCTTGCATCAACAAGGCATTTTCTCCCACAGGACTGCCGCATACTGGATGATTTTCCCTTTTCACACCATTCTTTGACTCTAGAAATGGTTGTGCATGAAAATACCAGTAACTGAGCAGATTGAGAAATACTCAGACCGGCCCGTCCGGCATCAACAATCATGCCACACTCAAAACTGCTTAAATCACCTTTCTTTCCCATTCTGACATTCAGTTTGGAGTTCAGGAGATTGTCTTGACCAGGACCACACACCTAAATGCATTGAAGCAACTGCTATGTGATTGGTTACTTAGAAAATTGCATTAATGAGAAATTGAACAGGTATTCCTAATAATCCTTTAGGTGGGTGTGTATATATATATATATATATATATATATTATAGAGCTGGAGGTGGATTTTGGATTAATGGATCTTTAACATTTTTTGAGTTAGTACAGTCTGTAATTGTGCATCTCAGCTTTTCCCACTAAATTTCAGTGCAAATTTACTTTTTATTTATATATTTAAAAAATTATATAGTTTGCATTGATTAACGAACATTGTCACGTGCATGTCTCTTCTAGCATTCAGAGATTAGATTATCTGACTATTCATATATAATCTTTTTTTTTTTTTGTACTTTCATTTTTTTAAATAAATACTTTTTTTAAAGATTCACAGGAGCAAAGGGGCATGGCAGAAAACCAGTCTGGCATAAGAAAGGCAGGAGCCACAGCACCTACTGAGGAAGAAGTGGAGGAAGAGGAGGAGGAAGAAGAAGAAGAGGAGGAGGAAGTAGAAGCAGCAGACAATATGGCAGTGGGGGAGAGCAGAAATGTGGACTGATAGAGCAAAAGTTTGAGGAACTTTAGAGATTTTTTCATAATGCAGAATTTTATTTTGAAATCAGAACTGTTTATTGATGATTCAATGATTCCATCATTTGATAACAGCTGTCTGTTTGTATTTTGGGAGAAAACGAGACTTAAAAAAACTCTTTCAAAACAGTTTGGAGTGGTCGAACAACCTGAAAAGATTAATTCACCCTGACAATGCAATTAAATAGAGATATTGCAGTTGTGCTCAAAAGTTTACATACCCCTTGCAGAATCTGCGAAATGTTAATTATTTTAACAAAATAAGAGGTATCATACAAACTTCATACTAACCAATGGTACATAAACTTTTGAATGGGATCATTTTAATAAATTCAGCAATTTTTTGCTTTGTGGACTACATGTAAAAAAAAACAGCGTATTCAGGACAGTACTAAATAATTTGTATGATCCCTCTTATTTTGTTAAAATAATTAACATTTTGTGGATTCTGCGAGGGGTATGTATACTTTTGAGCATGACTGTATCAGGTCAAATCAGTCAGCAGTCACATATTATATCATCCCTGCATATGCATCTCATACATTCAAACAAACAAAGTACAAATGTTTAGATCTACAAGCAGCGTGGTATGAATGTAAATTGTCAAGATATGCGTCAGTGTTAATTCAATGTCATGTTTTATGGTCCGTTCATTATGTGTGTGTGTTTGAGGTGCATTTATGTGGACATACACTGCCATCTAGTGTACAGACAATTGTTATACTGAATTCCATACCATAATTTGTCAA